GTGAATTCCACTTTGTTTTCTCAGGGAACTACATCATAACCATCTTATGTAGACATTAATCTCTACCAGGAAGTTCAGATGCCAGTTTTATATTTGATCTTTGTGATTACTTTTTAGCTTAAATTTTCTGATGTAGTGCTCCCTCTTCACCCAGTCCATGGCTGTTATCCTTAGCCAGGAGGGATGTTATGAGATACTTCAAAATCTTCAGAATGGAGTAGCGATGTGAATGGTGTGTGGATAAAGAATTGCTATTAAATGAAAAAGGTTACCATGACCACAAACCTAACTTGTAACACTTTGTCTCTCAATTACTAGTACAAATATGAGAAGAAATGCAGTGCTATTTGGACAGATGATAAAAAAGTGACCCAAAACGTTCAGGGAGGTGTCAGAAAGTCTAAAGGGTTGAGTGAGTTTAAGGCAACACCAACTATTTTCTTACCTTTTTCATTGATAAAAAGGCAGGACTGGCATATGTCAGAACTTTCCTTGGTGAACTTGGTAACAGTGTAGAAGATGCAGATATAATTATTTTAAAGTCATAAATGACCAAGACATGACTCTTTAACCTACTTTGGTTTTTCTAGCTTGGAGATATGCTTTTAGAAATGACTGACCATGGGAAAGCTACTAGAGTTACGGGCCCAGAAAAATGTTTCTCTTTCAAAAGATGGAAGAGGAAACTGTGGAAATTATATAAATAGACATTTAATAGGTAACGGTTGACACTGAAGGCACTGATGATAACTCAGCTTTCCACTGCAGGCAAATTTTAAATCATCTATTTAAAAGGGAAAAAGTTCATTTTGGTTCTCTGCCTTGTCAGTTTCAGCCAAGGTCATGTGAGCCCAATTTTGGTTCTAGAATGTGACACAGGAGGGCTGTTTACTTGGTATCTGGAGGAAAGGAAGGGCCAGGGTCTCACTCTCCTTTCAAGGTCATCTCTGTAGTGACCTTCTGATGGGAGATGCCATTCTGTATATATGTTTCTCATACTGGTTAATGAATAAAGCACTGTTGGTCAATAGGAAAGGAAGATAGGAGGGACTAGGGGACAAGGAGGAAAGAGGAAGTAGTAAGGAGGAGTCAAGATGGAGAGTCTGGAGAGAGAGAACCACCGGCCCCTGCTCTCTGGTAAGACCACGTGGAAATACATAGAAATGGGTTAATAATTAATACAGAGCTAGCCGATAAGAAACTAGTACCTGGCCAACAGCATTATATCAAATACAGAGTCTCACTGTGTTATTTGGTGCTGGTGCAGCAGAAGGACAAGACCAGCGGTGGGAGGAAAAACCTTACTCCTTACAACCTTCTTTTGCCAAGGTGCATCTCTTCCTAAAGGTTTCACTGTCTCCCATAGTCCTGTAGCTATAGTTAGAAGCCAGGACTTAGACGAACCTTTGAAGAAAACTTCTGATATCAACAGCTAAATCCACTTCCTTTTGCTAGTTAGCTGTTAACATGATGAACCAGAGAAACAGGAACACCATGGTTTAGTGACTTTGGCAATTTATGGACATTTAAGTGATGACTACAAAATTTGACATAAAACTTGTCTGAAATTATATGTAGAGTTGAGATTCAAAAGAATTCTAATGACTTAAATTCTGAGATGGAACCTGAACATAATACCTAATAGAAATATTTACAAAAGGCTTATATTTGAGAATGAAGGAGAGAAATGTGTCAACTGAAAATGGGGGAGATATTGCTTGATAATAAAATAAGTGTTCAAATTGAAACTCATCATAAATTCATATAAGCTGAAGATATGAAGTGGTTGCTTGAATAGCAGAGGCAATCTTAACTTGAATGGGATCAAAGGATCAAAAATGGTAATACCATGATTATGCCCCAGTCAGACAGGAGTGATTTAATTAATAATTGTATTCAAAGTATTTATTGCACTGCCATATGGGAGTAGATATGGCCTCTCTACTCAAAACGAGTCCCTAGCAAGGGAAGGAAGCCATGTTCAAAAAAGAATAAAATAATTCAGTCTTCTACATGGGTAATGAAAAAGAAAACAAATTACATTCAACATTTACTGCCTTTCTTCTATGTAGTGCTCTACACATATTTTATCTCCTCAGTGGCCATATTGGTTAATTTTATTATCTTCTACATATTTAAAAGGAATGGAAAACATTGCTTCATGTGAGCAGCAATGAAGATCTGCACAAATACGTGTAAGAGAAGTGTAGGTTAAAAGCTATTTATAAAGTCAGGATTTGGCATATTATGGAATGTGGTAAGCCATGAAACTCCACCAATGACAGCTCCACCCTATTAAGTTTGAACAAATGTAAAAACAGCTTTTTAATTAAGCATAAAGTAAGAAACATTATAGATTTAGAAAGTAAATGTAAATTTGGACGTTGTCAATTTGAGGTTCTCATGTAAGGAGTCAACCCAGATAACTTTGTGCAACACAAAGTTCCTAGTGTGGGGAGAATATTTTAGGTATGTTCAAGCAAAACTGATGTAGATGAGTAAAATGCAGGATAGAGATATCACAATACACAGAAGTATTTGCAATCTTCAACTAAAGAGAAGGAGACATTGTTGAAATGGAACACTGAAGAAGACAATAAATACAGTCAGACTTTTAAAGTGTTTTCTACTCTAGATTTGTTCTAGACTGGTCAAGGACAATTTTCTTGTAAGCCCAGCAAGAAGCTATTTGCTATTACCAGATAGAATTTGAATGTATAAAAAAAATCCACTATTAATAAACCACAATACATGCTTCTGTTGCAGAGGGAAAATAAGATCACCCAGTAGACCTGTAAGAAGTGCTCAGGATCATGAATAAATCTACAGAAGGAACTCACACAAAACTAAGAAAGTCGAAGTTTCCTGATGGACCGTTGAAAAACTAATTCTGCAAGAATGGAAACTAGGCACTGATAAGTAAGGCCTGATATCTGAATTATTTCACCATTATAGAAATTTCTAGAAGGTTAATAAGTTGAAGAAATTTTTTGTATAAGGGCTAAAGAGGAGATAAAATTGGATGGTAATAAAATTTGATAAAAAAAAGTTTTACTTCTGTAAAAGCAAAAGGTGCAGGATAATACATTCAAATTTGAATCATTCTCAATAAGAAGGACTTAACCAGATATTTGATTTTTCATAATAAATCTAAGTCAACTCATTTAATGTTTAAAGAACTGCAGCTTATAGTTTTAAACAAAATTGAGTTGAAAAAGGAAAGGATGATTTTGTTAATATCTTAAGAGGAAAAGCTTAGATTTTAATGTTCACCTTTAAACCAAGTGGCATATAGGAGAACCGTTGAAAAGGAGGTGGACAAAGGTTCACAAGAAGCCTGCTTATTGATTTAAACTCAGTACAAATAGGTAGATAAATACAAACACAGAAGCACATTAGCCTTCTTATTCAAGACATGGTTCACAGAGCACTCAAAACACTAGTATTTGAGGCTCAGCTTTTTCAAACAATTTCCCAAACTTTCCTATATTATATGACATATAAAATGAATGCCTTGTCTCAGTTCAATAGCAACTAAGTCTGAAGTTTTGAGAATGTATCATTAAGTTTTCTGAGCTTTGCGCCTTTCTGTCGATGTGGAGTACATTATATAAAATATTACTAATAACTATAATAAACAGAAGTCTTCAGTTGCAACATTGACTAATTCATGATGAATAAGGTCTCAAAAATACTTTCACATAAGGAGTAAAGACAAACTTTCATTTTTCATAATTGGGAGAAATAGGGAAGTAAAGATTCATTAGGTTCTATAGAATAAATCTAGTAAAGCTTACCTCAGGAGGAAAATAATATTCCAATACCTAAGAAATAGGTTCCCTGAGAACTAGAAGATGGATGAAATACAAGAGAGATAGATTATAAAAGAGTATAACTAAGAACTGAAAAAAAAAGCCCTTATGAAAAATGTGGTTTTGAAAAGAATAAGTGAATTTTAAAAAGGGAGTTGGATGTAAAGGTGAATCCAGGTTAAATTTACTTTAAATGGGATACATCACAAAAATGGGTAACATCAACACTGCTTCGTTTAAATATCAGGATCTCGCTATATAATGACTGAAGGATTAAAGTGTATTTTTGTACTAAGTCTGATGCTGATCAAATACTGCTTGGAACTCCAGCCACTGGAATTAATGATTAGATACTTCAGGTTGTGAGCAGCTAGATTCAAAGTGTCTTTTTTCTTTCATGGCTAACGTCATGTTTGCTCTGTAAGTCCTGATGAGTCATAGCACTGGGCCATGGCAGTACCTGTAGATATCAAAAGGCCCAATGCCTTGGAGTTGCTTTGTAGTTAGCAACAAATAACTGTCAATGATGACAATAACAAACCTCTGTGCTCAGTTATCTAAATCACATCACTGCCAGTAGCCCACCAGGAACAGCATTTTTATACCTGCTCATGCATGTAGCCTCTCCTGTCCATGAATGACTGTGGGAGGTAATTCTCTTTTCCTCTGTGAATTGTTTACTGATTAGGAGCTATCAAATTTGCTTTTCAAAAACAGTTATTTAATTTTCACACAATAACATGCAATTGCAGAAGCCAATGGTAAAATATAGGTACCTCCTAAAATCACACAAGAACCTCCTGTGTCTTTATTTTAATCAACAGGTTTTTTTCTTATTGTTTATTTATCTAGTAATAACATCTCAAACATTAAATCTGAAATAGTTACAATTGAAGTGCAATATTATATTCTAGGTAAAAAAAAAAAAACCTCTAATGAGAGGATACTTGTAATTTCATGAAATGAGACATGCAAACTCAAGCTTAAAAAATTATGAAACCTTCTGTACATAAACAACAGACTATAAAATACAAAGATTGTTAATTCTATTAAAATAAGGAACAGCAGAAAGTATTATTGAGGCTATATCTGCACAGAGCTATCATTTAAGAATGGATGTGTTGGAATCAAAGGAAATCCTTAAATTACAAACCCAGATGTCTTCATCATGCTGAAGTACATGCATTTTGGTTTCCTAGAGTTCCAGAACCTCGGGATCTTCAAGAATCTACCCCCAAAACCCTGGAGATGTCAACCTTGAGAGATTTTCCTTAAGAGAATATTTGGGTGGCTCCTCAGACACCCATTCCTTCCAAAGCACTGGTAAGCTTCATCTGGAAATTCTCAACATGTCCCATTAAAGAAGCCTAGACCATCGTTATTATTTCTACCTTGTGTTGGCTCCAGTTGTCTTCTACATGTTAAGCTGCAGGAAGCATGGAAACTTCCTACAAGACATCATGGGAGAAACATCAGCGATCTGTACACACACACACACACACACACACATACACACACACTTTCTTTCTTTCTTTTTTGACATCATCAGCAGCTGCAGAGGCATTCTTTCCTTTTCAGAATTTGAGCTCACCAAAACCTACAGACTCTCCCTGCCCCCCACCCGGCTCTCCTGCTTCTGAAATCCAAGAGAATAAGGACACCTTCTCCTCAGGACTGGCGCTGGAACCCTGTTGGTGAATGCTGAGGAAGGGGGAGAAAGTTACTTCGCAGGCAGCAGGGATGGATAGGCTCACCTTCCATGTTTGTTGCCATGGAGATGAATTCCAGCCAGAAGACTTGTTGGCAGGTTTGTCTGTGCTTGCCGATCGGTTGAATGCAAACGGCGTGTTCTGAGGACCTGCGTGAAGTCACAGGACCGTGGGTAGCGCTTTTCTGGCCTACGTGTATAAATGTCTGTGCCTGGGTGAGAAACAGGACACGGACAGCTGCGGAAGGACGTGCGCGCGAGTGTTTGCAGGAAAATGTGTGTGTATTTCTCTGGTGTGGCAATGTGTAAATATTGCACTCAGGTGAATATGCGAGCAAAAGAGGAGGAACGTGAGATGAGGAAGGGACTCTAACAGCAGCAACAGGGTCTGTTCTTCAGGTCCATTAGATAGAGCAGAGACAAGGGCTCGTTTTTCACTCACATCGCACCCTGAAGCAATCAGGGTTCCTCACTATTTGTGTTTCCTAGGGTAGTGAGGGGTTAATTATTTCATTGCGAAAATCCTTACCTCTGCTGTGTCCCCAGCTGTGCTGAAGGCATTTCACTGTGCGTGGAAACAGCAGTCTCGAGTTGTTAAGAGGCTCTAAATTTCTATATTTCCTTTGATCAGACAAAGGAAACACACACACACACACACACACACACACACACACACACTCACACACACACGGAGTGAAAGGTGTATTGGTTTAACTGAAAACTGATGCGTCATTTAGTCGTTTAATGTTCCTTTCACTACCCACACCCCTTTCCTCGTAAGCCCCACCCCACCCCTTTCCCGCAGACTCCTGGAGCTGTCCGCAGTGCTGAAACGCGGAGGAGAACCTCACTCCTGCCAGAAGAATCCTAACTAGCTGTGACAAAACCATTAGGTTGAACGATGCTGGTGTTCTAAAGTGTTGATTATACACATTGCAAACAGACAGCACTGGAAGCAAAGCGGAATACATCAAAGCAACAGACACTTTTCGTCTCATCTCTCCTCGAGGTTTATCCACACTCAGTTTTAATATTTCTTAATTGTAACCATATTTTGACTCTCTTCCCAGAACCTACCCTCTGGCAAGCACCTGTAGATTCCCTACAAACTTAATTGTTTCTCTTATGAGCCACTGAATTGCTAATATTTGTGGAGAATGTAGATACAGAACTTGGAAATTATTATTTCTGTTGTTATTTAGCTAAGAACACAGAATGTGACCAGATTTAATAATGAAGACAAATTCTATGGCCACCTCGAGTATTATTACTTAGGAAATTTAATGATCCTATATTTAAAAAAAAGTTTCACAGAGAATAAGTGTCAGTGGAGTGCCTAGTCACAAATGGAAAATCTACATCACCCCCCCTTCAAAGCTCATAGGACCCTGAACAATAGGAAGAGGAAAGATTATAAGAACCAGGGGATGGATCAGAGTGAAAAGGTGTTTTCTGATCAAGACAACCCTGCTTCATTCATGAACTCACAGTAGCCACACAGGACCCACACAAGACCAAGCCAGCTGGCATTCTAATATGGTGTGGGGAAGGGATCATGAGTGTCCACCCCTAATTGATGAGTTATTAACATTTGATAGCTTCTGGGGTGAGGGGAAGATAGTTTTTAAGGTTTTAGTCCCTAGTAGGTTGATCAAATTTCTGTATATAGCCTTATACCTAGGTGTCGAAGCATATGGTAAGCACAAATTCAGTGGGTTATTTTTTATTTTAAGGAGTAGAGAGGAAGTAAGGATATTATGGGCCTGGGATATAATTGGCCCCTATTAGATGTAAAAATATTAAGACCTGTTAAGGAGTAACTGACCTACTTGTGTGCTGTGAAAGGATGGAAAATGTGTGTTCTTCCAGTGGCATGCTCAGAGCTTTCATAATACTCTAAAACAGTTGCTTGAATTTTAATGTAGTTATGAATTTCATATTTGTGAGAATCAGAAGATGCTGATTCAATAGGTATGAGTTTATGTCTCAGAATTATTCATTCCTAACATCTGTCAGAACCGAACATAGAGGATCCTAGTCTTGCAACCACACTTCAAGTGGGCAGGTACTGGAAGTATTGTATTCTAGCAATTCAGTTCCTTGTAGAGTCCAAACAATGAGGTAATTTTCTCTGATCTACATTTTAATATTATTTCACTGGCTGGAGAGATGGCCTAGTGTTTAAAGGAGCCCTTGCTGATTGTGATGACTTGGATGAAAATGTTCCCTATAGGCTCATATATTTGAATATGTGGCCTCCAATTGTTCTGTTTTGGGAAGAATAATGAGGCAGCCTTGTTAGAGGAGGTGTGTCACTGAGGATTTACTTTGAGATTTCAAAATACTCTTTCCATTCCCAGTGTCTCTCTCTGTCTCGTTCTTGCAGATCAAGACGTGAGCTCTCTGTGGGCTGATCAACCCTGCAACTACCCAGGAATTAGTATTATGAGCTGGCCCACCCCTACATCCACCCATCTGTGATCTGCTGGAACACATGAAGGGACCTGTCCTGCAGACCCGAAGCTGCAGGATCTCCAGGACACAGGGCCACAACAGGATATCCAAGAGGAGTTCCAGTGAGGCCCAGCATCCACCATGTAGCAGAAACCAGAGGTCTTGAACCAGATCAAAGACTCTGCAATGAGCACTTGCAAATAAATATATATGGATAAAAGGGCTTACTGCTCAACTCACAGTGTCACACTACAGCTTCTATGAGACTGATTTTTCCTTTTCGTTGTTTTTCTAGTCTTCTCTTAAATTTTATTTTTGGGGTGTTGCAAGGTCAAAGGGCAGATATGAAGGTGTTAGGAAATGAATGGGATGAAGATTCATAATGTGACAGACACAGTGAATAAATAGAAAATTTAAAAAAGATGTGAGTTCTCAGTTACTTCTCCAGCAATACCATGCCTGCCTGTCTGCTGTCATGCTCCCTGCCATGTTGGTCATGGACTCTCACCCTCTAGAACTGTGAGCTCAACATTAATTCTTTCTTTTATAAGTTGCCTTGGTCATGATGTTTTATTACGGCAATAGAAAAGTTACCAAGATTTTTCTCTTCCAGAGGACCCCAGTTTGGTTCCTACCGCCCACATGACAACTCGTAGACAACTGTAATGCCAGTTTTGGTGGATCAGAATGCATTTTCTGTCTCTTAGCTCACTAGTACATACATGGCATATATGAATGCAGTCTATACTACACATAAACAAAAATAAATATAAATTTAAAGAGGAGGCTGTTATAAAAACTAATCTATTTAAATAAGCATAGAAATTATTCTTGTAACATTTTGTTTGTATAACATTAATAAAATATTTGTGAATATGTTTTACTTTATCCTAATTTTTGTGGTATATGGAACAAGGCTATATTTGATATCCTCCGTGTGTGTGTGTGTGTGTGTGTGTGTGTGTGTGTGTGTAGTGGGGGCAAATATGCTATGGTACATATTTAGAGGTCAGTAGACAAGCTGTAGGAATCAGTTCTCTTCTTCTATCAAGCGAGTCCTGGAGATTGAACTTTGGTATTCAGGTTCGGGAGCAAGTATCTTTACATTCTGAACCATCCTGCCAGCCCACTAGGTCCTTCCTCAGTGTTCTCAAGGGCTCTTAAACACAATCCACAATCATTTTTTTTTTAATAAAGCTTAGCTTAAAGAGTCAGAACCAAGTGGCATGGATCTGATACAGAGATGAACTTCATTTCAGAAAACATTATCATAGCTGGAGACTTTAAATTGTCATTTTATGACATTAAATATGGTTCTATGGTAAATGCCTATGAAGCCTAATCTTAAAGACCAATGTTCTAGAGTTAAAGAGATGGTCCAGCAGTTAAAGTGTGTACTACAACTAATGACCACCTGTAACTCCAGCTCCAGGGAATCTAATACTTTGTCTGGTCTCTGTGCTCACCCACATGCAGGTGGCATACACTTTTACACACACACACACACACACAAATCTTTTAAAATATTTGGGTGTTCTACAATTCTCATTCAGCCTATAAAAATGAGACAGTGTTATCATTTGATCATTGATACCACAAGTCCATACATAGATTTTGAAGATTGTTCTGGGTGGTTTGCTAATTTTTTAAGATTTATTTTATGTGTATGAGTGTTTTGCCAACATGTATAAATATACACCATTGCATGCCTGGAGCCCACAGAGGTTGAAAGAGGGCATGGGATCCCCTGGAATTGCAATTGTGGATAGTTGTAAACCACCATGTGGGTGCTGAAATCAAGCCCAGGTCTTATGAAAAGGGAAACAAGCACTCTTGACTGCTGAGCCATCTCTCCATCCCCCTGGTTTCCTATTTTAAAAAATCATAGATCATTTAATACAGTGCTTCCAGCTAATGCTTTCTAACTGATGCCAAAGGAAAGATTTAACTGCAAATTAGGCTCTTTGGTGTTAGTTGGCACATGACCTTGATCTTTTCAAGCTATATGGAAGACGATGATGTTCTCAAAAGCCTGAAAAGTGGCCCATTTAGGAGCGTGTGATTAAAAATCCATTATGTTCCATCCAAAGAAAAATTAGATTTGTTATCTGTCCTTGAAGAGAGTGTTGTAATTATTATTGTAAAGCAGTGTAAAACTTATTGTAAAGCAGTGTAAAAGCCCCTGCAAAGTTCTATAGATGTTAATATACTACTTATGTTTTATTTTCCATTGTATAAGGACCAGTGAATTAATGCAACTTAAAATGAACATGTGCCTTTCAAATTCTTGCACAACTTCCATAGAAACTATTGAAAGAAATGAAACTCATTAATGGCCTTCTAAGTAATGGCTTTCAGGAGACAATGATTTACTTTCAAAATAAAAAACCAACTTGTGATTGACATTGTTTGTACATCCCCTGGTTAAATCACCCTTAACATGCCTTGGTGCTATACTGGACTTTACCTACAAATATTCTATTGGAAGAACTCCTAATTTACACACACTGCTTGGCTTCCTTATAGGGTTGTTATTAGATATATATACCCAACACATTTCCTACTACTTTTTCTTTAAGATGTTAAGCAATTTAGAAAGCTTGGAAATTTCCTAAGAAGTACAGCTTACAATACAAATAGAACTCTCATACCCATTCCTTATTTAATCAAACCAGGCCAAGCATTGTTTTTTCTCATATATAGTAGAGACTGTGAGATGAATCACGTTTATTGCTTCTTTTACCTGCTCCCCCCCCAGCCCCGGGATATCAGAGTCAAATTAATCACTAAAAATTATCACCTCAAATGTTCTTCTAAATTTGTTTCTTTCTTCTATTTAGTTGTTTCTTGAATTTTTTAAAATTATTATTTTTTTAAAATTCAGTTTGTTGTCACCTGAAAAAATAATAACATTAAATCAGAATTGGAGTAAATAAATTAATGTCATTACTCACAGCCAAAATGATGACTTTTAGGTGAGTGTATATGACAGTTTTATGTATTTATTCATATAATTTGTTATAATAGGATATTGAAAGATAAGAAACTATATAACCTAATTATTATGGGAATAAAAATCCAAATTATAATAATACTAAATAAAAAGTTTGTACACCCCAAGAATCCTCTCCACTGATGCAGCAATCCAAATCAGACCAAATCAAACCCTTATGTAAGGAATGCAGTGCTCAGGGATGGTCTGCCTGTCCCACAGAGAGGAGATGAGAAAGGCAGACCAGAAAAACCATGAGTCTGCTTTCTGGGAGGCAGTTTAAATACCCTGTGGGAGTGGTCTTGAGCATCTCTGGGACAGTGGTCATCATTTGGTGGGCTTTCTGAGATGTGATATGGTTTGGAGAGAGATAGGGGAGGGGGCTGGGATGGAGCTTCCACCATAACACTAAATATTAAAATATTAAGTTGGCTGAAAGGAGTTTCAATTTTATAATTATAAATTAGCTTAACTTTAAGCAGTGTATTCCATTTCTTCTTCTAGATCCTAAATGTTGTCCTTTATGACTAGGTCTTCTAATTAAGTTAGAGATCAGAAGTGTTGGTTTCTGGGTGTGTTCTGTTGGTGTCTTCATTACTCTCTACATTGTTATTACTGTTATCATTATTGAGACATCGAAATAGTCTCTTACTGAAGCTCAGACTAGCTAGGCTGACTGGCCAATGTGCTTCAGGGATCCTCCTGACCCCACCTCCTCATCATGGGGTTACATATGCATACATCACCCCCTGCTTTTGCAGGGCTGCAGAGGAATCAAACTCAGGTCCTCACATTTAAATCACAGTTCAGCTTCGACAAGGAGCCGCCTCCCCAGCCCCTGCAGGTATTCATCTCTGCCTACCTTGTGAGATGTGGAACTTAGAAGGAACTTACAGGAACTTAGAAGGCACTACAGCCAGCCTCACTCAGAGTGCATTTTAGCAAGACTACTGCAATGAAACAGAAAGCAAGCCCTTCATCCTTCCAGGGGGAGGTTTTGTTTGCCTGGAGCCTCTTCACTGGTGATTTTTGCCTCCAAGGTTTTTATTGGAATAATGTCCTGGAGTCACAATAAAGCCAAGATGGTTTCTCTTTTTTTCTGGAATCCACATCGTCTGGTTGGTGGTTGGCTGAGGTAGAGTCTTCTAATGTGATTATTCCTTTTATTGCATAGTATAGTTAACTCAAACATTGGGTAACCAAATTGATTTGTTGAAGAAATATATAGACTAATTTTGATATAATTATTTAACTTTTTACATTAGAAACTTTAATAATCTAGTGAATTTAGAAATTATTTAGACAATTTGTATTTTGAAGTTGATTGATTAAAAAACAAAACAAAACAAACAAACAAACAAAAATTTCCCTTGTCAGTCTTGAATGTCGTTTTTTACCTTTGCACTCCATCAGTTTTAATCTTTTTGGAGGAAGGGGTCAGGATGTTTTTGAAATTTCGGTAAGATATTATCTGCTACTTCTCCAAAAGAGACACAATCACAGAAATTTTGCTCTGCATTCGGGCACATCCTGGACCCCCTAGAGGGTCATTCATTCCCATCATCCCAGTGTTATTCAAGCAGACCAGTTAAAAGCTTCCATGACAATTAAATGGAGCACGAGCTCACCCCCGTTTTGCAGCTAAGTAGTGAGTGCTTTCAAGTTCTGTTTTTGTTTTGTCTTGTTTTTAGTTACACTATTAGCTTCCTTTCTTTTCTCCTTAACCTCTCCCCACCCCAAGATCATTTTATCATCTGAGATCTCAAGCCAGTGCTGATTGTGCTGAAATGGGATGGCAGGGTTTGGTAATGGGATGATTGGATCAGAAAATGACTGTGTTGGATTTTGTCAACAGTGAAGAAATCATCTGAGTGGACTCCTAAGTAAATTGAGCTGATGACACTCCAGTGTGGATAATGATCTAATGCTGGCCTATCTGATGAGTTTCATCGGCAACATTACATTTTGGTAGAAAATCTTTGCAAAGATAGATGCACCCAATGTTTCAGCTCCAAGTGATGATTAAAATGAAGTTTCA